TTTTTTTAAGTATATTTTATTGATTTTAGAGAGTAAGGGAGAAGGAGAGAGAGATAGAAACATCAATGATGAGAAAGAATCATTGATTGGCAGCCACCTGCACACCCCCTACTGGGGATCAAGCTCGCAACCCAGGCATGTGCCCTTGGTGGAATCGAACCTAGGACCCTTCAGTCTGTAGCTGACTCTCTATCCATTGAGCCAAACCAGCTAGGACCATTACTGATTTTTTTTTTCAAACCTTCCTAATGCTGCGACCCTTTAATAGAGTTCCTCATGTTGTGGTGACCCCCAATTTCATTGTTACAAATTGACCATAATTAAAGCATAGTGATTAATCACAAAAACAATATGTAATTATATATATGTTTTCCGATGGTCTTAGGCGACCCCTGTGAAAGGGCCATTCGACCCCCAGGTCGCGACCCACAGGTTGAGAACCGCTGGATTAAGGTATTACATACATTACTGATTCTTTAAAAGCTTTCCATCGCCAATCCAGCCTGAACTGATCACTCAAGACTTATGAGCTTTCATATCAAGGCCAGTTTCATATTTGGCAATACGCTGTATACTCCAAGTAATATTTCTACAATTACTTTTCAGAACTTCCAAATAGATCATTTTTAAAAGGGATGGGAGGACTATTAAAGATTGCAAGTATTTTGTTTTAAATATATTTTTGTTGAGGAAAGGAGAAGGAGAGAGAGATAGAAACATCGATGATGAAAAAAAATCATTGATCAGCTTCCTCCAGCATGCACGCCACTGGGGATAAAGCCTGCAACCTGAGCAGGTCATGGACCAGGAATTGAATGGTGGCCTCCTGGTTCATAGGTCAACATACAACCATTGAGGCACAATGGCCAAACCTGAAGTTTGCAAATATTTATGTCATATCGCTCTATGTAAGAATTTGAGACCAAGGACCACATTTTATATATCATTTCCCCACAGAATACAAAACAAAATGTTGAAGACTGTTGTTTTTAAATCTATGAAACATAATTTGTGGTATAATTGCACCTATGGAGAAACAAAAAACTGTGGTTTCTTCCATTTATTTGTTCACTCCGTTCATCAGTATTTATTGAATACTTGCTACGGGCAAGACACTGGGTAAACAAACAAGAAAATGGCACTAATTCTGCCTTCAATGCATCAGTACAATAGGCAGTTGTCCCTTTTACCTACTTTACATGGCCAAACTCCCAAGGACATTTGTGTACGTTCAATAGCTGCTAACACCCTAGGGCAGTGGTTCTCAACATTCTGGCCCTTTAAATACAGTTCCTCATGTTGTGACCCAACCATAAAATTATTTTCATTGCTACTTCATAACTGTAATGTTGCTGCTGTTAAGATTGGAGTTCTGTGAGAGCAACTAGACCTCGCCCTGGAGCTGCAGGTCCCAGCATGGTCGACCAGCCTGGTGCTGTGGTCCAGGAGGACCCATGGATGTCCGCCCAGGCCCTGGACAGGCTGCTGAAGATACCGCTTCCGCTGCCACGTCTTCGCACCCGGCCCTGGTGGTTTCCTGTGCTGGAGCTGAGAGTCCCATTGGTGCTTTACCTGGAGGCATGTCTGGCTGACCCCACCTTCGGCAAAAACGGAGCCATGATTC